TACACAGACATAAACACACACACACACAAACACAGACATATACACAGTAAGACACACACTAAAATAAGAGAGGGGCCCAGTTGAGGACAGACAGGGAATTAATGGGAGTGGGAGAGAGATTGAGAAAGGGTAACAGTGTATTTGTGTATGTTGAATACAGTAAAAATCCATTGTGGACATGTATGAAAATGTCAGAATGAGCTGGATGATCGCGGCACACACCTTTAATTCCAGTACTCAGGAGGCAGAGGCAGGTGGAACTATGTGAGTTTGAGGCCAACTGGCCTATAGAGCGAGTTGTAGGCCGGCTAAGGCTACAAAGAGACCCTCTCTTGAAAAACCAAAAAAGAAAGTCACAATGAAACCAACTATTATGTATAGCTAATACATGCGAACAAAAACATTAAAAGTTAAAATAAATATGCAAATAAAATGAAAAATAGAAAAACCAACCTGTGATGTGAGACTCTCTAAAAATTTTACATTGATATGGACATTCTATTCACACCTCCATTTATATGCATAAATGTATATCCATTTGTATGTAACACATTATTTTATCTAAGTAATGATAAATATTCCTACACATGTATAGCCTCAGTCCCTGGCTCTCAGTGACAAAAACCTGGAGCTAAATAGTTAAGGGGCAATGCTGCCCACTGCCAAGCCCGCAGGGTATAATGGGGTCTCCTGGCAACCCTGGGAGACTCTTCAGTGTGCCTACCATGTGCTGAGCGGCAGAGATGACGCTGTAGCGGCCCAGAACCCTCTGGACGAGGGAGGTGCTGGGAGATGGTCAGAGGAGAAACTGCCCCCCTGGAGGGGGCAGGGCACATTTTCTAAACTAGATCTTGCAAAAAGCCAAAACCTGACAGAGACGCTTGACACTTGGGGATCACTGCTGTCAGCTTTGGGGAGGCCTTAGAGGCCTAAGTGAAGAGCTGGGAGCTCGCTGAGGACAGTAAGAACTGATTACGGCACCCGGCACCGGGCGGGGCCAGGGATGCCTAAGTGACTCAGTGGAGACCCAGGCTCAGGGACTGTCATGAGAGGGAGCGTGAGCTCAGAGGCTGCAGCCTCAGTGACTCAGAGACCTGGGACCACGACAGAAACCAGATTGCTTGTATGGTATTGGAGCAAGGTCATCAAATCAGCCTTCTTTGCCCCACAGTCCTAAGAGTCCTTGGGATGATTTAAAGCTCTCTAGCCAGTCAAGAGTCCTGAGTATTTTTGCAAATAAGGAAACTGAGGTACACAAAAGGGAAAGTGAGTTGGGTGGTAGGGCTGGCGTTTAATCCCAGCACTTGGAAAACAGTGGCAAGTGGGTCTTTTTGAGTTCCAGGCTAGCCAAGGCTATGAAGTGAGGTCCTGTCTAAAAAACAACAAGAAAGGAAGAAGGAAGGAAGGAAGGAAGGAAGGAAGGAAGGAAGGAAGGAAGGGAGAGAGAGAGAGAAGGAAGGAAGGAAGGAAGGAAGGAAGGAAGGAAGGAAGGAAGGAAGGAGGGAAGGAAAAATTATTTGCCTGCAGTGATGGGTTTCAGGACTTGGACTTTTGATCTTGAACCTGCGTCTCTCTGTCCTAGAAAGGAGCATGCCAGGTTGGCTTAGGGTAACAGCTGGCCATAGGTGTACCTGGCCTGTGCAGCTTATCACACACCTAAGGAAACACGGAAACAAAAGGTCGCTGGTGCTCTGGGGAATAGGAGGCACTCTTGGCTAAAACTGAGTTTGGGATTACCTAAGGTTTCACTTGGCTAGTATTCCTGTCCCTCAGTGATGCACACACACACACACACACCTGTAGCTTTCTGGAGAGGTACCTGTGCCCCAGTGGACTGGGATGGGGATGGGTGCTCAGCTGGCCCAGCAGGTGCCTAGCGGTGTACCACAGAAATACTTGTATAGAGTGCTACCCATACACCTAACTCTAACTATTTGGTTAACACACTACCTTTTTTGTCTCCAGACCACAGTTTCCTTAAGGTAAAATAAGTTTCCCCCAAATGCTCTTTAAAGTACCTAGTTCCAATCCTTAGACTCCTGTTCTCCTCCGAGCCTTCTGCCAATGACCCCTCATGGACACAGGGTTCCTGGGACCCTTTATTTACATTGCCCACAGCCAGCACCCTAACCTGTAACAGGTCTGTATGGGTCAAGGCTGAAGACTGGTCCAGCCAACCCAAGGCTACCAGCTTTGGCCAGTGGTTGAGGTTTAAAGCTGTACAGGTTTTCCTTGGTATTCAAGCTGGTGTGTGGGATATTCCCCAGCCAGACCCTGGGTCCTTAAAAACTGGCCAAAGGATAGGAGCAGAAAGGCTAGAGGACTTGAGATAGTCCTAGAGCCCCAGTGCTGAGCATCATAGTCTAGAAAGGAGGGGTAGAGGAGTGGGGCCCCACCTACCTGGTGAGGTCATGGGAAAGCAGCTCTGGCGCTGACACCTGGGGAAACCCGTTTCCAGGCTGCTTCCCACGCTAGCTCTCCTGGGAACCAACTAAGCCAAGCCCCAAACAGGGAGCCCCACACCTGTCCCCCCTAGTCCAGTTCCCATCACCTGTTCCATCTGATCTAGCCCCCACCTTAAAATCAAGCCTCAGTTACCAATTCATCTACCCAGGGTTGGGCCTTGGGAAAGGTTGTGAAGGGGCATTGGGCTGACGGCTCCAGGAAACCACAGAGACAGCAGCTTCAGAAACAGAAGGTTTTATTTGCACATTGCACTGCTTACCTTCTAAGCTATGACCTTGGGGAAAGGGATGGTCCTTACCCCTTCCTCCTTCAGGCTCTTATTTGCAGCTCCTCCCCCTCCCTTTGCTGGGCCTTGACTCTCACTTCCTGCCCCTCTGCTGGCCCAGCCAGTTTGGGCAGTGTCTAGGGAGCCCTGAGACCCAGTTCTTCCCAGGGAGCAGTCCTGTCCTCCCTGGCCTTGGGGCTCGAGGGCAGTCCAGGTGTCTGCCTTCTCCACAGCTGTCCACCTGTGCTCTCCTTCTCCGACTTCCTCCTTCCAGGCCCAGTACTCTAATCTGCCTCCAGTCCTCCACTTCAAGCCTCACTTTCTGTTTCTCCTCTCAGTCTCTACCGGCCTCTTCTTTGTATTCACTCCATCCATCTCAAACCTCTCCAGCAAGGCTGACCACCTGTCAGCCCTCCAAGAAGCCCAACTGTTTTCCCTGCTTTGTCACACCTGTGCTGGGAGAGAGAGAGGACCCCCAACGAGGGGCCTGCATCCAGCCAAGCTGACCTGTGGCCCCGCGATGAGGAACTGGGCATTCCATCCCAAGCTGCTCACTCACCCATTCCGATACTGATGGTATCAACCCACGAAAACCAAAGTGCTGGGTTTTCCTGTGAATCTTGACCAGAGAAACCCAAATCAGAGCCAGCCCTCGCATAGGACGGAGGCTCACCCTGGCTTACCAGAGCACACAGCTCAAGGCTCATGTCCACTGTGTTCAATAGAGAACTGAGTCCCAGGGCTTGGCTAGGCCCCGCCAGTACCCACTGTCCTAGGGTCCAGAAGTCTCAGTCCACCTTCCTGCCTCTTTGCACTGCCATAGCTGCTCAAACAAAGCAGAAGAACTTCTTCCAGCGGCAGCGAGAGAGTGTACGCACACCTTTCGCATTCAGTTTCTTCTCCAGGCGGGCTTTGTGCTCAATCGCACTGAGAATGGCTGAGTCAAACACCTCCTTCAAGTTCTTCTGCGTCAGGGCTGAGCACTCAAGGTAGCAGCAGGCCCGGATCTTCTCAGCCAGACCCTGGGCTTGCGGTTGGGGTACTGGACCCTCCCGGCCTCCTTGGTCCAGCTGAATTAATACATTGACATCGTCCCTCAGGTCAGCCTGAGTGCCCACCAGCAACACGGGTGCCTGGGGGTTGTGAGTGCGGATCTCCGGCAGCCATTTTTCTGTTATGTTTTGGAAGGAGCTGGGCTGCACCACGCTGAAGCAAGCCAGAAAGACATCGGTATCAGGGTAGCAGAGGGCTCGAAGCCGGTCGAAGTCCTCCTGGGGTGGCAAGGCTAGCCGTTAGCAAGACCATTCCCTCCACACTGGAATCAGAATCTGCTCACTTGGGGGTGGAGACCCAAGTCCCAAAGCCCAAAGCCTGCTCCATTCCTCCTCCATGCTGAGCCCCTCCCGGCCTTCAACCCTCTCCGACCCTTTGCCCAAGGCAGGCTCCGCCCAGCTCTCACCTGTCCCGCGGTGTCCCAGAGCTCGATCCGCACCGGGGCTCCATCTACGAGGACTTGCACTGCAGGGGAAAGCAGGGGTTAGGCACAGCAGCCTGGTCCCTCCAGGCAGGCCTCACCAGCGCCACCTCCGGGCCTGCTCCCGGGGTCTTCCGTGCCCTCCCGCCAGCACGTCCCTGAATGCACAACCCCACCCCAGCCTCAGGGGGCCAGGGGCTGTAGAACGTACCAGAGAAGGTGTCCAGCGCCGTAGGCCGGTAGCGAGCGGGGTACCCATTGCAGGTGTAGCTGACGATGAGGCTGCTCTTGCCCACCGCACCGTCGCCCACCAGCACACATTTAATGCCCAGCTCCGGCGCGCTGCCCCGCCGCGGAGGAGGGGTCGGGGCCGGGAGAGGCGGTGGCTCGGCATCGCTCAGCTCCCGCGGCGGCATGGCCCGCTCCCGGGGTAGCAGAGGGGCCAGCCCGGACCAGGCTCCGGGGCGCTCTGGGAAGCAGGTTCCGCAGCCGAACGCTGACAGTCCGTCCGAGCTGGGCACGCCCGCTAGAGGCTAACAGAGGGTATATATGTTGGACCCCGCCCACCTCATCTGCATGTCCCAAGTGGCCCGGACACCGCCCATCGACCCGGACCGCCCTCTGCAGAACACCCAGGGATAGCAAAGCATCCAGAGAAGAAAGGGATACGAAAACATGGCACCACAAATGTAAAAGGACAAAGACCCGGCATGTGATATTTTGATTTATTGTTAGTAGGAAGACGCAAACTACAGAATCCATAATACAGCATGTTCAAATTAAACACATCACCATTAAACCTTTTCTAAGCTAAAAAAAAAAAAAAAAAGCTTTTATACATATAGTGGTATGAGTATTAGACATCGGTAATTTTATTAATATACTGCAAGTGAGAATGCAGCCCAGAGTGCCCACTGCCATACAGAAAGCCCCGCATCTGTTCCCAGTACCCTGCCCTGTGTGGTGCTTCCCTCTAACCCAGCAGCCTGCGGGTGGAGGTGGAAAGGGCAGAAATCCAAGGCCATTCTCTGTGGCACGGAGACAGATGGAGACCAGCCTGGGCTACAACATGAGACCCTGTCTCAAATAAACAAATATCCTCCTGGTATGACGGCTGGTCCATACCTTCACTCCCTGCACTGTGGAGGCAGAAACAGAGGCAGGGGCAGCGGCAGAGGAGCTCTGTATGTTTTAGGCCAGCTTAGTCTACATGGTAAGGTCTAGGCCAGTCAGGACTACAGAGTGAAACTCTGTCTCAAAACAAGCAAAACCTGGTGCTGTAATCTGTGATAGAATGCTTGCCTAGCATAGTGAGGCCCCGTGATTAATTTCATGCACGTCTATACAGTTAGAACAGCCATTCAGACAGAAGCTTCGGAGCTTCACGTTGGATTTTATACTTCCATTATCAAATATATTTTAGAATTTTTAAAAACTGTTTTTTTGGGGAGGTTCAATTCAGGGTTTCTCTGTGTAGCCTTGGTGTCCTGGACTCACTTGACAGACCAGGCTGGCCTCAGACTCAGAGAGACCCGCTTGCTTCTGCTTCCCCAACTGCTGGCATAATAGGCGTGTGTCACCGCGCTCAGCTGTTGAATATTTAGATTTATTTTTAATGTATATGGGTGTTTTGTCTGCATGTATGTCTGTGTACCTCATGAAAGCACTGCCAGAACAGAAGCCAGAACAGAATGTCAGACCCCCTGGAACTAGAGATACATACAGATGGTTGTTAGCAGCCGGAAGGGTGCTTGGAACCAAACTTAGGTCCTCCGCAAGAGCAACAAGTGCTCTTAACTGCCAGGACCTTTCTTCAACACCACCCCCATATATTTGAATATTTATAAGTCCCCAAAGTACCTACTGTTATCCTTTGGGGAGGGGGTTGAGACAATGTTTCTCTGTGTAACAGAGCCCTGGACTAGCTTTGTTGTCCAGGCTGGCCTCAAAATCACAGAGATCCACCTGTCTCTGCCTCTGCTGGAATTAAAGGTGGTATATGCCATCACCCCCAACTGTTATCCTTTTTAAATAAAAAGTTTATTTTATTATTTGGTTTTTGAAACAAGGTTTCTCTGTGTCATGCCCTGGCTGTCCAAGATCTTATTTTTAATGAAGCGTATCTTACGTGGCTATGACTATGTGCATGTGAGTACAGCGAGGAGACCAAAAGAGGGCCTCGGAGCCCCTAAAGCTGGAGTTACAGTGATGAAACCGCCTGAGCAAGTGCTAGGAACTGAACTCAGGTCCTCTAGAAGGGCAGCATGCACCTTTAACTGCTATGCCATCTCTCCAGCCCAGTACCTAATATTATCATTATCATGAAAGCCCATCCTAATTACCCACTTGCAGATGCTGTTTCTGAGCCACCTACTGTCCTCGCCCTAAAAGGAACTTACAGACTCAGACAAGACTTCCCAGGTAGCTGTACAAAGGTCATCTAGAGAGCACATGAGAGAGTGGCCTGATGAGAATTTAATCTCTCCTGCAGCCACAGCAGGTGACACCAAGCCCAGAATCCTTTTTGACTTTGGAGGAGGCAGTTTTCATCTCAGCCTGCACAAAGATCACTGAGACACTTAGACACAGGCAGACAGGCATTCATGAGCTTGGGGACAGGACGAAATTGCAAGGAGGAGAGGCTGTGAGTAGTAAACAGATATCTAGTACACTTGCTCCCCAGCCTGACATGGTGCCACTCATCACAGCACTTGGGAGGCTGAGGAAGCAGGTCTGCCATACAACAAAGCCAGTCTAGTCTACATGAGGAGTGCCAGGGCATCCAAGGCTGCACGCAAGACCCTGTCACAAAATACAAACAAACGAAAATCTGCCTTTGAAAATGGCTACAAAGTGGCTGACTTGGCCACTCTTGGGAAACTGCAGGCCCACTTTTGTATTCCGATGTCTACCTCCCCTATTCCCTTTATCCAAATGTCTAAAGATGCTAATGATCCTAACTGTTGCCACAAAATCCCCAAACTCCTCAGACACATCCCCACGGGTTTACTTATCCAGTTACTGAAAGGTGTCTGAAGTGTTGTCCTTCCATTATATCGTGCTAGAAAGTCTGGAAGCTGCCCATTTTGTCCTCACTGTCAGAGCTCTATAATGAAAGGCAAAGTGTAGCTTCTCTGAAAGCCCCTCTGGTGCTAGCCATCTATGATTTGGGAGTCCCGGGGAAGCTGCAGAGCTGTCCAGGACAAATTACTCAACACACACACAAACACACTTAGTTCTTTGGAATACTCTTGTCCTTTGCTCTGGTTTGAGCACCTTTGTTGGACTGGTGGTGTGGCTGAGTTGGGAGAGTGCTATCATGTGTGAGGTCCTGGGTTCTGTTCCCAGCAAGACAGACATCTGGAGTGAAGGCACATTCCTGTAATCCTAGTGCATAAACAGTAGTGGCAGAGCAGGGTATGGTGGCACACACTGTTGATCCGGGCACTCGTGAGTCAAAGGCAGGCAGATCCCTGTGAGTTTGAGGTAAGCCTGGCTTACTTATTGAGTCCCATGCCAGCCAGAGATGCACAGTGAGACCCTGTCTCAAAACAATGAAATAGAGAAGTAGAGGCAGGAACATGAGAAGTTCAAGGCCTCCTTGGCTATGTGGCAAGTTCAAGGCCAGCCTGGGTATATAAGAACCTGTCTCAAAGGGGGAAAAAAGCCAAAAAAAAAAAAAAAAAGCTTTATTAAAAATATAAAGTTAAAGATGATAGTTTTTAATCCTTTCTGAAGACATACAAATACTACACTAATGGGGCAAACAAGGGAGATGTCTGCTGGGCATGAGTCCACGTCCTGCCTTGGTCTCAGACTGGCCATTCTTCTTTGGTCTCCTGGGTGGAGACACTTTCTGACCAAGGTCCCTCATCTGAGCTGGTTTAGGCACAGTCTTGTCAGCAGGATGGGGAGGGAGGAGACAACCTAGGAGCTGGTGAGTCACCTATTTCTCAGCTAAGGACTTGGAATTCCGAGCTACATCTGAGAAAGTCCTCTTCCACATGCTGGAGCTATCTTCTGCCCCAACTTCCAGCCATACTTGCTAGAATTACAACCTGGCACCAACATTATGTGTTGGATAAATGGTATACTCTAGAATGAGGACAGAAAACAGACAAAAGGAGCCTAGAACATCTGTGGACAGAAAGTAAGGAGGTGTTAAACAAACAAACATGACAGGGAAAATGTAGGTAGTTCATATGGACAAGAAAACAACTGGAAGAGTTTGTGATGGTCCAAACTGAGCTATCTGAACATCAAAGCAAATCAACATTATAACCTAGTATAAGAAAAAAATTTATGAATTCACACCCACAAATGATTTATACATAAATAAACTGAGGATCAGAATTTTATATAATGTTTTTAGAACTTTGGCCTTGAAGGAGACAGAAAATAAAAAATTTTTTGAGACAGTATGTCATGTAGCCCGGGCTGGCCTTAAATTATGGATGGTCTTAAACTCTTGGTTCTTCTCACACTGTATCCTGGTTGCTGGGATTATTAACATGTAGCATCATACCTAGACTAACCACTTTAAAATGCACGTGTTCACGTGAGAATACATGCATATGTGTGTACATATGTACATATGTGGAGGGTGGAAGCCCTTTTGTCAGGTATACCCCTAGGAGGAACACAGTTTCACAGTTTACCTCCTTTGGAACACATCTCTCATTGGCTCACCGCTTACCAATTAGACCAGCCCGACAGGCCTTCCAGTCCCAGACTGATCACTACCTGGCATTTTGACATGGTCCTGGGGCTGGAATTCAGGTCCTTGTATTTGTTAAGGCAAGAGCTTTACCAACTGAGTCAGGAGACAGGGGCAGGGGCAGGGGCAGGGGCAGGAGAATCGTAAATTCAATCCAGCATGAACTACATAGCAAGGCTTTATCTCAGTAAATAAAAAACAGGGCTGCAGAGATAGCTCAGCAGGTTAAGTGCTTGCTTCCTGAGCAAGCATGATAACCTGAGTTCAATTCCCAGATGCCACCTGAAAGTAGCTTGATCTTACACATATACAAAGTGTCCCTCCCATCTCTCTCTCTCTCTCTCACACACACACAAACACACAAAAACAGAAGGGGCTGGAGAGATGCTCAGCAGTTAAAATAACTGGCTGCTCTTCCAGAGGTCCTGAATTCAATTCCCAGCACCGACATGGGGGCTGGAAACCACCTGTGACAGGATCTCATTCCTTCTTCTGGTATGTGTGAAGACAGATCGCTAGTATACAATTAATTGATTAAATAATTAATTCTTAAAAAGCTGGCCAGTAGTGGCACACTCCTTCAATCCCAGGACAGTGAAGAGGCAGGTGGATCTCTGAGTTGAAGGCTAGCCTGGTCTACAGAGTGAATTCCATGACTGCCAAGGCTACCCAGAGAAACCCTGTCTCAAAAAACAAAACAAAACAAAACAAAACAAAACAAAACAAAACAAAAGCCAAACAAAACTCAAACTCTTTGCCACCACAATTTTCTTGCTGAAAAAAAAAATTTTTTTTTTTAAACAA